GTCTGAGTCCTCACGTGCCGGTGGTGTGCATGTGTGCGTGTGCATGCTGGGTAGAGGGCTCTCCACTCTGGGCCTGAGTCCTCACGTGCCGGTGGTGTGTGTGTGCATGTGTGTGTGTGTGTGTGTGTGCTGGGTACAGGGTTCTCTACACTGGGCCTGAGTCCTCACATGCTGATGGTGTGTGTGTGCAAATTGGATAGAGGGTTTTCTACACTGGGTCTGAGTCCTCACATGCCGGTGGTGTGTGTGTGTGTGTGTGCATGCTGGGTAGAGGGTTCTCCACACTAGGCCTGAGTTCTCAGGTGCCAGTGGTGTGTGTGCATGTGTGTGTGTGTGTGTGTGTGTGTGTGTGTGTGTGTGTGTGTATGCATGCTGGGTAGAGGGCTCTCCACACTGGGCTTGACTCCCCATGTGGTGGTGGTGTGTATGTGTGTTCATGTGCACGTGTGGGTACCCATGTGTGTGTGTGTGTGTGTGTGTGTGTGTGTGTGTGACAGCCCACTGGACAGCAGGGGACCAACTCTTTGAAGACCAGTGAAGTTCCTCTGAAGCTTTCGTATCCCTCCAGCTGGGCAGAATTCTGACTTGGAGATGTCCAGTCATAATCTCACAGGTGGCAGCTTCATCTGTTGGCCCCTCAGGAGCCAAGCAGATACAAGTAAGTGTTTCCCTTTTTTTCTCTCTCACATTATTTTTTTTTTGGTTGTGGGGCTTGAACTCTGGGCCTGAGTGCTGTCCCTCAGCTCTTCAGCTCAAGGCGAGCACTCTACCACTTGAGCTACAGCGCCACTTCCGGTTTTCTGGTGGTTTATTGGAGATAGGAGTCTCACGGTCTTTCCTGCCCAGGCTGGCTTTGAACCGCGATCCTCAGATCTCAGCCTCCTGAGTAGCTAGGATTACAGGCGTGAGCCACCAGTGCCTGGCTTCTCTCACATTTTTTAAAGGGAGAACAATATCCTATTGTGTGTGTTCATCCATGTTTTGATAGGCTGTTGGGAAGCTGCTGCTGTGCATCATCTAACTTACTTTTTTAAATTTACTTGGGTTTATACATAGGAATGGAATCGCTTGGTGATACTGTAATTCTGGCCATCTTGCTCTACTGGTAGCCAGCTTGTGATGAGTACTTTGCACCTGAGTCTGGCCCTCCTGGTGAGCTAGCCTAGGTTTCAGAGACCAAAGTCCATCATTTCTCTTGAGGGTCAGAAGTCTTAGCTGTCATGCCAGGGTAAGGCCAGACTACTCCCCATGGATGCATTAGCCGGGCATATTTTGACTGTCAGAATAAACATGGGAGCGTGTGTAGAGGAGGGTCCCTGTGTCACTGGGAGTGTGTGACGAAAAGTTCTGTGTGCTCATGGGTCCTGGGGAATAGCAAGTACAATGTCCCCCTTCTGATCATCCCTGAGTGCAGTCACCTCCTTCTGATCATCCCTGAGTGCAGTCATCTCCTTCTGATCATCC